ATGTTACCATTGCAATGAAATACACAGCTCTACGAAATGTAACTGAAAAATGATGTAACAAAGTCAAGTTTCCTTAAATTCCCCCTGGATTACAGATCCACAGCTTCACCACCCTAGTTGTTTCCGTAGCAAATATACTTTTACGGGGCAGAGTTGACACGCCCAAAAGACTTGGAATTCAGAGATATATTTCTGCTAGACTCGTTTTCAACCAAGACTATAATCTTTTGTGCTCTGCTATTTTATGCATGGCCGCTGGGAAGAAAAGATTCATTCATCCGAGCCTCTATCCATTACTCTACCGTGCCTCCTCAGAATAGAGTACTACCGCCATATTCTGGCAGGGGTTGATAACTCTTCATTTTCTAGTCTCGATAGAGTCCGTATCATTGTGGGTGATGAATTATTTTCCACGCTACAACCCGTTTCCTCACAGACGAAACGTCGCAAGCCTCTCACTGTTCTATCGCTATTTCCAATGAAAATGCTCAGGCGAAATACATTCCTTAGTTCCACCAGTCCTAACCTTCACGGCTAAGACCCGCCATGCCACGCCCATTGAAGCGAACCACCCTCATTCCCTTCGTATTCCCTTTGTGCGATAGTGTATATAGGTACTCGTGAGGTAGTGTATATAGGTACTCGTGAGGTAGTGTATATAGGTACTTTCAGTAGATAACTCTCGTAGTGTATATAGGTACTTTCATCTCTTGCAAAAGATACGGTTCCTCGGGGACCAGGGCTGTTTTATTCATTTTGTCTTACAGTTAAAATAAACTTAAATCTCAGACTCACATTTTTGTACAAGTTTCTGCGACGTGCCTGACTGGCTACTTTGCTGGAATACAAATCGAGATTGTCTGTCTAGTGGGCTGAACAGGATATATATATATATATATATATATATATATATATATATATATATATATCCGTACGCCCACTCAATGGGAATATAATAAAGACTCTGATTAAAGTAGGAATGACAGACGTACACAGATTGTCTGTTTAGTGGGGTTGAACAGGATATATATATATATATATATATATATATATATATATATATATATATATATATATATATATAGCAAATATATGGATATAGATCCGACAGTATGAAGAAAAATATACAGAAAAAAACAAACAAAAATCTTAATATGCAATTATGCTGTATTAATGTTAATATAAAGACAACGTCGGACGTTTCGGTCTATTTTAGACCATCATCAGGACATTTTCATTAAACATAATTAACATTCGAACATATAAAATTCAACATGAAAAGACGATGGTCATAATAGCACAACTAATCCAAACAGATAACTGAAATTTTTATATAAGATCAGCGTTCCGTTTAAATATTATATTATATTTAGATATATATATATATTAGATATATGATTGCATATGTATGTGTATATTTACCACTAATATTATCAATCTATATATATATATATATATATATATATATATATATATATATATATATATATATATATATATGAAGAAAAAAATATACGGAAAAACTAACAAAAATCCTAATATGCAATTATACTGTTTTAATGTTAATATAATGTCAACGTTGGTCGTTTCGGTCTAATAGACCATTTTCAGGACATATTCATAAAACATAATTAACATTAGACTATATTCAATTCATCATGAAAAAAGACGATGGACACAAGAGCAAGACTAATCCAAACAGATAACTGATTTTTTTTTTTATAAGACCAGCGTTCCGTTTTAATATGTTTAATATGTTTTCTTCATACTGTCGGATCTATATCCCTATATTTGCTTACATATATATATATATATATATATATATATATATATATATATATATATATATATATATATATATATATATCTCCCCCTGTACGGCCACTCGATGGGAATATAATAAAGACCCTGATTAAAGTGGGAAGACTTACACGGGTGTTTATTTAAAACAATAATATAACAATATCTATCCTAGTTCTAGCTAATCCGATTCACGGCCCCATTCATTCAGGCAAATGACACAATCATCACAAGAACTCATCCCTCTCCATTCAATCCAAACATGCACCAAAGTACCACATTTTCGCAGGGGACCTAATAACACATCCATGATTGTAAACATTTCTGAATACAGGAATTTACCAGCCCGCCAACCATGCAACCAGATGTGACATTTTTAAAGTGAGGTCTATCGGCCGGAACGTGGAAAAATTGTCAATCCCTCTCGGCTCTCCCACCTTTGGGAACTCAGCGCCCTCCCGAAGGAGATGCAAAGCCTAAGGGATAACCCCCTTGTGGCTTAAGCTTAATATCATAAAATATCCCATATACAACAATTTACTAAGCGCAACTTAGACGTGGCACAAGGCCGAAATTATGAAGCACCCAGTGAGGATCGAATTCACAACCCAGTTGTAATTGATCTAGCGAGAGAGGCTTGCTAACTATTACACCATAACGAAAAGCCTAAATTTCTGAATGTATAAGTATTTACTGGTGCACCTACCTCGCAACGAGATGCGATACAGGGTCAGTTTAAGGTGGTTTTCACGGAAGTACCTTGGAAAATTTCACAAACCTTTCAGTAATTCCCTTTTGGGGAACGCCTCAGTCGCCGGGCAATAAACTCAGCGCCATCCCGAGGCTGAGGAAAAACCTGGAGGATGGCCCACTGGGGCTTAGGCGTAATATTATAGATCATTAAATCCCATATACAACGTTTTACTAAGCGTAACTTATATGTGGCACAAGGCCAAAAGTATGGAGCACCCAAAAACTCAAGCTTGTTAACGATTACACCACATCGAAGTACCCAAATTTCTGATAAGATAGGTACCAATATTTTTTTCAAAAAAAATATATAAAATGTTACAATGACATGAAAGGGGAGGGGGTGAAACTATTTAATCAAATAAAATGTAAACTAAACATTTAAAAGAAATTAATTCTGTGTTAATGAGGTACCACCCAACCCACAAAAATGAAAATGGCTGCTGTATTCTATTGACATATAGAATCAAGAAGCTCGCGCGCTAGTGGCGGGAAGGTGGAAAAAATTGAGGAGGGGAAAAAAAAACATGTACACTGGTATGGCCAAGGAAAGAAAGCGAAAGGAGACACTCAGTTGATTAATTTTTTCATCACGTGATCACTTGACACACCCAGAGGAACCAACCATTTTATTATAGTAGGTTAGACAGCTAAAAGGAACACATTAATTTTTTACCATACAGAACAGAAAACTGGGAAACCTCGACCGTGCTGTAATGGTTATCAAGCTTGTCTCGCGAGAACAATTACCACTGAGTAGTGAGATCGATCCTCACTGGGTGCCCCATATTTTCGGCCTTGTGCCAACATCTAAGCTACGCTTGGAAAATCACTATAAAACTGTGGGCACTTCGCGGCAGTGTAATGGTTATCAAGCTTGTCTCGCGAGAACAATTACCACTGAGTAGTGAGTTTGATCCTCACTGGGTGCTCTATGCTTTCGACCTTGTGCAACAGCTAAGCTACGTTTAGAAATTCACTATAGGACAGAACATTATCACAACATGCAGTCAACGAAGAGGATATGCCTGAATAATCCAATCACAGTAATTTTAAGTAAATTTTGCCTTGGAATAAATCATTAATAATATAAGCAGAGAGAATGAAAAACGACTAGATGACTGGAAATGTCAATTCGCTCCAGCCTCGTCAAGAGTGGATATTCTTTAACAGACGCACTATGTCTGCTTACTTATTTTTAGCACACCCCTTGCTGCTTGATACCCTAACGACTGACAGATGAGACAAGCGGTAATATTCAATACGTTTGTTAGTCGGGTTCACATAAAAACAACCATCTGGTTTGATCTCTTGTTTCAAACATGTTGTACAGAATTGGCGCGAACGAATAAGAAAACTGTGGCTCATGAGATATTAAATACAAACGATGACTCAAGTATATAACACACGGAAGAATTTATATGTAACTGGAGACATTTATTATTAATACACCAGTGAGGTTGACTTATTGGCGTTATTTGGATTTAGATATAACTATGGCTCATTAATCATATATATATATATATATATATATATATATATATATATATATATATATATATATATAAACAAACACGACTGACAAGCTACTATTAAGCTTTTTTATTCAACTTTACTTCTGTTCGTATTAGTCTTTTTCTATTCTGGACATGAAGTTTTTAAAAACTGTCGAAATGTCCTTTATATCCGAATGCCTTCGTCTATTTTATTAGCCATTGTCAAATATGTTTTAATATTTTATTATTATTATTATTATTATTATTATTATTAATATTATTTGTGTATGTTGTGTTTCCTGCTTTGTATCCTGTAGAGCCGGGTCCAAACTAGGGTCCTTCAGGCCTTATAGGGCAATTGTCATTTAATTGATGAGGTCTCATCAGGTGGATTAGCTAGCCACCTGACAAGACGTCATGGTCGAAACCAATGTAGTGCGGTAGCATATAGTGTTTTATCTTTTTTTTTTTTTCTTGTATTAACTTGGTCCGCATGTTTGTTTTTTTGGAGCACTGTTTTGGGCACTTTCTCATATGTCAGTTTTTGGGGGCGCGGTAATTTTCCCGGCCTTTTCATATATATTTCACGCTTCCAGTAATATTCTGGTCATATATTTAACAAATTTCCTTGTAAATGTAAACAATACAATTATACAGTATCGAAGTAAGAAATGGGTCAGCTACTTAAAAAAAAATTGACAAGAAAATGTAAGTATTTCACCAATCTACTTTCAGCGGGTCATTGGGCAAGTTGTCTCATTCATAGGGAGCCAGTACGAGGCGAGAGACAGACTTGAATGGATCCTGTGACTGAAAATAAGGCGTACAGAAGTTATGTGCCACTTGACAGGCATCCAGATTAATTTTAATCCCAGATTAAGATATGCAATCCAATTTCTCATGTCAAAATGACCGAATAATGACTTGAATAGAGATTGCCTTCAACTTGTCACAGCCGTATCACGCCGTAACACCGGTTCTCATATAATCGCTGAAGTTAAGCAAAGTCGAGCCTAGTCAGTACTTAGATGGGTGACCGCTTGGGAATACCATGTGCTGTAATCTTGGTTGTGTGGTCGTATAGTGGATAACAGCTCGGAATTGGTAATTGGAGAGCCGAGTTCCAATTCCAGTCGGGTTTGTTGTATTTACTTACAAGCATATAGCCATCAAGAAAGGTATTGGGTTAATAAGTAGGACTTGTACCAGTAAATCATGATTATCTAAAAAAAAACCCAAAAAAACTTAAAATCAAAAAATATTTTCCGGCTTTAAATAACTTGAAAAAGGTTGATTAAGCCGTAAAAATGCAAATCAATCAATACAACTTGTCTTTTTAGTGTAGCTGATTTAAGTTTCAAAATGGGAAGAATTAATTATCGAAATATTATGAAGAATGAGTCAACATAAAATTTAAATTTCTCAGAAGTAGCATTCTGATGTTAGGAACGTTTTGCATATAAAAAATACTCGTAGATCTTCAAAACTTTACTTTTTTTCTATGCGCCATGTCTTTTCAGGACGTAGGCGATCATGGCTCTCCACCTCCCTCTATCCCTTTCAGCTCTCAACAAGTTCGTTCCCTCTGTCAACTCCCCAAGACCACGTCCTGCCATCCACTTGTTTGACGCCGATAGGTATGTCATGCATTGTTTTCCCCTGTCTCTTTTTTCCTCTATTCGACCTGTGAGTATCAGATTCTCCAGTCTCTCCTTCCTCATTATGTGTTCCAGGAACTTCAGCTGCCTCTTCCTGATATTAAGTATAAGCCTCTTCCTTGTTTGCAACCTCTCTAAGATCTCATCGTTGCTCAAACGATCAGTCCATGATATCCTTAGCATCCTTCTGTAGAACCACATCTCTGTCGCCTCGAGTCTCTTCATCTTTGAGAAAATCGCCCAACATTCACCGCTGTAAAGAAGAACAAATGTCACGTAACAGCTCAGTATTCTTTTCTTTGCTACCAAAGAAATCCTCCTGTCTCGCAATACTGCCCAGTTTTTGGAATGCGTCCTTGGCCATCCTAATACGCCTACGGATCTCAGTGTCGTTTCCCAGATATTTAAACTGCTGAGTCTGCTTGATTCTAGTGTTCCCTTTGCTGTGGTCAGGTATTGAACTCACAACTTTTGGAATCGAGTTACTTTTAGGATTACTCAACCAACGCTTTTATTCTCGCACACACACACACGCACACACACACACACACACACACACATATATATATATATATATATATATATATATATATATATATATATATGTATATATATGTATTGTGTATTTAGGCAGCAATCCTTCATTTATACATGTTTCATTAAAAACTACAGACAAGCTACTGCGAATACTGTGTTCGAATAAGTGTTTTCTTTTCTGGATACAGAGTGTATAGAAGCTGTTCAATTATTCTGTAATTCCGAGCGCTTTCGTCTATACTTTTAGCCATTATCAAGGATAATTTTATTTTTTGATATTTAACTAGGTGTTTGTGTTGTGCCTATGTTTCTAGAGTTATAGAGGTATTTTAATTAAAATTTAATTTTAATTTCTTTTTTTATTATTAAGATTTCCATTATTTTTAATCTTTTTTTTACAGGTGGATGAGGTTATTATGTTTGTGTTTTCAACTAGTATGTTACGGATGGAGTCTGGTAAGTGCGTGTTTAAATGGGTTCTAATACACCTATGGTCAGATAGGAGTAACGTAAGGCGTCTGGATAGGCATGTAGTCGTGTGACCGATGTAATTATATATGAATTCGGTTTGATCAAGAACACAGTTCCTTAAGGGGCATTGGAACTCGTAAATAATGTTCGTTTAATTTTCATTTTGCTGGTGTGTCGTCATTTTTGAGGATGAGGTTAGTTGTTTTAAATTTTTTGTAGTAGATAATTAATTTGATTTTTTGGATATATATATATATATATATATATATATATATATATATATATATATATAGTTAGTTAAGTAACGAAAATCTTAGTAATCCGTACGGATAACCCCAAGGAGGATGAAATCCTGAGAGCTGAATGTTAATTCAGAGCGAATAATTTAATTTAAAGAAAAACAGACCACTTTAAGGCTCCATTTGTAATAACTTATTTCACCAGAGAATTTTATTTTTATCTAGATCTTCAGACTTCAGTTTCAAAAGGTGAAACGAAAAATGAATTTAAAATTCACACTTTTGACGAGCAGTATTAAGCTTATATAATTTGACATATATATATATAAAACATAGGATGTCTGTGTGTCTGTGTGATACCTTTTCACTCGAGATCTATCCAACCGATTTTGACCAAATTTGGCACATACATTGTACAATGTAAGTGATAGGTCCTTAGTGTAAAACATCGATAATTTTTTAAATCAATAATCGATAAAGCCGATCAAAAATCGATAAATTCAACTTTTTCCCTCGATTTCATTCAAAATCGGTATGAAGGTTACTTACATCATGACGAGCTCAACCATACCTCATTTTTATTTATCCGCCACTGCGTTAAGCGAAAAATCACGAAAAACGAAAAATCGATTTCAACACAAATATTAAACTAAAAGCTCCCTCAATTTTCAAGCAATCTAATACAAACTTCGCTCGATTGTAGCCAATAATAAACTGATATTTTAACAGTCATTTAACTTGATAATTGAATCCACCCATATAGTAAAAACCCGCGTAAATAACGAAAAATGGCGATTTTTACTGGTTTCTTTCTTATTTTTCGTACATCTTTCAACCAATTTTCATCAAGTTTAACAATTGCCTTATAAATGTATCCTCTTTTACATCTCTGGTATCACACTGACAAATTGAATTTCAAAAACTTCAAAATAATTGTGGTCTGAAATGGGTCTTCATGTTGCCTGTTTTACCCCTTCATGTCCTCAGCTAACTTCGACTGAATAAATACAGACTACATTTATTATATCAGTAACTGCATTAATTCAAAATGTTTTTAATAAAAGTACTTTAAAGTAATTGGAGATAAACTCTGTTACATCTAAACATGATGCTGTTTTTGCTCCATCCTAATTGAACGCTTTTTCTGATCGACCAGCTGCCTAGGCTGCTAGTAATGAATATAAGAAAAACAATGTTCAGATATTACTGCCTTCCAGGGCCTTAAATTTTCATACGAACACCTCAATAGTTATGTGGATGCCTCACAATCTTAAAGGTGGTACAAGAGATGAGATACTCAATTTTACATTAAGCTAATATAGAACGGAATATCTCGTCCCTTGTACCGCCTGAAGTTAGTGAGACAACCGTATAACTATCGAGATGTCCGCATGAAATTTTAAGGCGTGGAAAATTGTCGGTTTCCTGTACTGCTCCAGTAAGTACCTGACTCCACATGCAATCGTCTACCTTTACAGGAACAGGCCTAAAATGGAGCACTGTTGTCATATCTGGTCGGGGCCTGCCCAGTCATCACTCTTCAGTCACGATAGCGTCCTAAAGCGTCTCCGAGTCCTTGTGGGTGACAAATTATTCTCCACCCTCCAACCTTTCTCTCGTGAGGTGAGAAGTGGTAAGCCTCTCACTGCTCTGTCACTACTTCCAAGTGCGCGGACGAACTGCATTCCTTGGTTCCGCCAGGTCTAACATCTATGGCTAGAATCCATCAGGACACCCACATTGTAGCCAACCAACTACATTTTCTCCGTGTTACTTTCGTAAGAAGTTCTACTTGTGTAAATGGCTGGTAGAACAGGGATTAGGAGAGATAGCAAAAAGAAAAAAAATCTACTAATATCTTCAAAAGGATAGCAAGTTGTGGAGAGCCATGATCACCCACGTCCTGAAGGGACACGACGCATAGAAGTAGTTAGTTGCTCGTAAACGAATTGCTTATAAAACAAATCGTGTAATCCGAGCAAGTAAACTTCATGCTTAGATTTTGCATTGTATCGAATCACCCTCATACATTTTATATAACCCTGGGGAGATGTAAATTCTACTCAAGCAGCTTCTTCCCGTGAGCCACTGCTTTATGGAACCAACTCCCAAGAGGGTGCTTCCCTGATCACTAAAATCTTAACCTGTTCAAGTCTAACCGTTATTTTCCTCTCTTATTCGCATAAACTGTCATTTAATGGGACCCTCTACCTCGGGCTCCCCCGAGCCTTATACAGCGTGAAACTTACTGTTAAAAAAGAAGGTAGTAATATCTGAGTATTGTTTTTCTTATATATTTATGAAAAGAGCAGAAATAATCTTTTGGAATGGTTAAACTGAGAAAACAGGTCAGATCTGAATGCAGAATGAACATCTCTTGTTTCGAGAATCTTCTCATGAAAGTTGCAACAAACACGCGAATAGGCACATCATTGTGGAATTTATGCCAAATTCCGTTTGTTCTTTGCCCCAGAAATCTGCAGCAGGCTTGATGAGACTTGATTCCCAGCACAAATTGACAGTCTCACTTGTATATGAGGTGTGAAATCAACATATTTCCACTCACAGATTTATTTTTTTATTGATAATTAATTCTGAAAGGAGGTTATCTCTGTGACATTTCACAAAATCAAAATCAACAGAACCATCAGACAGAAGAGCTTTCCTTTTTATCGCTAAACCTAAATTCAGTAAAATCTGCAATAACTATGAGATGTTTATTATCATTTCACCCCAAGAAAGACGATAATGCCACTAAGATGCAAACGGTTACTGGGAGTGGAAAAGAATGAGAAGACCTTAGTGAGAAGAAAGGACAATAAAAGAACAGGTTTCATGAAGACATAAGATGGCGATTAACGTTATATTTATATTTTTAAGATTGTATGTGACAGGGTAGCAAGAAATTGGAAGATAGTTTTACAGGTGAGAAGTTCGAGAAAAGAAGATGTTAGAATACAACTTACGGTTACATGTTTTAATAGTAAAACGGTGAGACCTAATTGACAATCTAGTAGTACGCTTAAATTCATCCAGTCAAAATAGCAAGGAGGAACCTCCCCAAAACAATTACCACAAAAATATTTATAGAAAAGACAGAGGGAAGCCACGTCATGGCGGTGAGAAATGACTGAAATTGAGATGCCAGGTCAGGACCA